AAAAATTGCGCCCGAATCTTCTTATCGAAAGCCTGGTATGCGGGAAACCAGTCGTCGATTTCGTCGTCCTTGAGGATAGCATTGTAGTGCTGTGCAAATCCACGGAAGATGCTAGGTCCTGTGATAGGCTCAAGGAACGACAGGAAGGTGTTGTAGCAAGTAAAGAAAGAAGACTGAGTGAGAGTGTCCTCCGCCGGGAAATCAGAGACGTCCAATACGGTGACCTTTGTGGTTTCGCCTGTACCATGCTTGACGGTTTTGACGTTGCTTGAACGGATCCGCGCGAGAGAGGCGGGGAGGAAGAGGGACAAAGGGGGAGAAATCCCGTTCTTAGCCAGCGACGCTATGGCAGAGGGGATGGAGTCATCGTTCGCCCGGAATGTGTTCTTCTCAGCCACTTGGTCGTCAAAGAAAATCCCGGAGTTGCCCGGGCCATCCACGCTCTGTACAGGTGCATCTGGATCCCCGCTGGGCTGAGACTTTTCCCCGGAGGGAGCCACCATGACAAAAGGGGTCAACTCATCTCCTTCATCGTCAGAGACGTCCTTTTCCCCAGCTTTCCTCCGCTCTCCCCGCTTGTTGTTCCGTTCGAGCCGCAAGATATCCATCTTCCGGAACACCTGAAGTGCCTCGGCCGAGAACACCACCTCGCCCGCCTTTCGCTCCGCAGACGGAATAGGGGCTCCGCCCAAGAAGGCGCTAGAAAGGCCTGAAATTCCGGCTTTGTCTCCAGTTTGATTACCAGTTTTGTCGCCGGCCATTGGGATGAGTCGTAGTGTCTTCAAAAACAACGAAGTTCATCAGGAAAAAATATTTTCCTACGTTGCTTACACTTTAGGTCTCATGACACGGTAACCCGGGTAGCTGATGCCCGTGGTCTGGTAGCCGCTCGTAGCTCCTGGTTGCCCACCATCAGAGTGTGGTAGCTCAGGTTGCGGCAGGAGCAATATGACCTGGCTCTGTAGCTCTCATAAGTTTCTGTCTTGGTTATGGATGGCTACCAATAAAATGGTATGCATGACATAGCCCTCTGTCATTCTGGGTCTGATTCAAGTTTCCAATATTTTAGTATTTTCGAATTTAAAAATTGGTAGGTTATGTATGTCAGGCACTGAGGCATGGCACAAAAGTCGAGATATTAAGCTGACAGAGGCTCAAGCGACATTCATGATGATTCCTGAAGACAAAAAATGATAAGTCATTTGACCATGTGCCCGAAAGTCCGACCGCCGACAGCCGATTACGCGGCATCAGTGGCCGCTATAACACCGTTAAATTGAAACCGTTTCTGAATGGCGGTCAACAACTCACCGGGACAGAGACGCCGCGCGGTCAAAACCATGGGACGCATTTTGATGGGGATCAACAACTCTTGTTTCCTCCCCTTATCCGCCCGCAGCGCGACGTCTTGCTTGCGCTGTCCGCACACTCTGGAAGGTGCATAATCCTCCCCTCTTCTGACTGCTGACTGACGAGCTGCAACGAACCCCCCAGTTATGCCGCGGAGATCACGGCGTGCCGTGTGCCCATCGACGATTGCCTGTGCGTGCTGGCACGTCTGCTGCTCAACAGCCGCGGCATCCTCAACGCATGTCCTCTGTGCGTAGCCGTGCGCCTTACTTATTATTATTACTCCAGTAATCGGACTTCCTGCAGCTGCACCCAGTCCGGCCCCTTGCTGTCAGCCGTGCACCCGCACCTGCCAATGTTTTGCGCGATGTTGCGGGACGGATGGATTTGCGGGACGGATGGATTTGCGGGACGGACGGATTTGCGGGATGGATGGATTTGCGGGACGGATGGAGTAATTTATTGTTTAATTATACATTCTGTATATTATGTAATGGTTCCCAATATTATCTTATTTATGTGCACCTATTGTGTAATTTATATGAGTTACCTGGTAGCCTGTATACTTCTAATAGCTGCGGTAGCCAGCTGAAATGACATATTACTAGGCGCTAACGAGGGCTACTAGCCGGCGTGTGATGGCTACGATGGCGTATGATGGCTACGAGCGGCTACCCGACCCGTGCAGGTGGTTACAAGCGGTTACCATAAGGGGGACTTGTCGACGGGGTTACCACAGGTATTTCGGTTATCAGACTCTACGTAGTCATGTGCTTTTTTCCTGATGTTCAGTACTGAGAAATCGTCGAGAGTGTCGAGAGTAGGTGATTCAGATCACCGGATCACGCGACACTCTCTTAGTCAGCCAGCTTTGTGCTCTGGCTCGCAAGCTCGCTCAGGGCTCAAGCTTGCAAAACCGGAAAGCGCCATCACAGCAAATACACCAAATACAATAAACATCAAACCAAAGTCATGCCAAACATTGATATACTTAGCCGGTTTCGTCACTCGTGGCCCAGAAAATCAGAAATAAATCACAAAAAATTCCCGTGCAAAGAAGTGATGACGGGCACTGTAAGAGAATGGATAATTCCCACCACCCAGGGTAGGAATGGCAACAAAACCGCAACGTTCGAATCATATTCATATCAATATGGGGCCTGGGCGTCTGCGCCTGGACTTACCAGTTAAGCATTGCTCCGGACGTGGCGGCAATTTATCATGCTACACTGCCCTGTCTGCCCTTACGATAAAAGTCGTGCGTCCAGTATCCCTGTACCCACCTGCCACCCGCCTCCTCAGCATGCCGCGTCGCCAAAATCGAAACCAACGTCCCACAGGTTGTGCCTCGTCCTGTTGCGGAATATACTTCATTGTGCTCTGCGTTCTGTCGATATTTGGAGCAATATTCCGCACTAAACAAACACTCCTGAAAGAGAAGGAGCTACTTTCTAGTATCACCGAAAACACCCCCATCTCCGGGTTTTACGGCCCAGGCGCCTGGTGGGTGTTGCTGATTACGTTGGGGATGACTCATGGTCATACATTGACGAGTCTGGTGAACGCCGAAGAAGAATCGCCACCGGAATGGGATTACGACCTCATTGGCGCCTCAGCATATGTTGTTGCCGCTGCAATTGATCTCATGCACAAGGGCCGCCTAGTTGCACAGCTCGGAGACAATGCCAGCGAATCAACGTTATTGCCTGCCCTTCTTTGCGCAGAACGCGTTGTGGCGGTCGGGACGGGCTCTTCTCTGTTCAGCATTGCAACTGCTGCCTATCGCGGCCGTTCTGTGTTCCGCACGGTCGCTGTTGCTATAATCCCCTTGATTTTCGCCCTCATTGCGTCCGGCTTCTCCGCCAGCGCGCATCAGGCCATCCAAAAAACCGTCCCGGTTCTGTGGTGCAGGCTCCACGACGGCAGCGAACTGGGAAAATACGACGTGACCCCTCTCACTTTACCCGACTTTCCAGCCATGGTATTCATTGGCATCTCGTACCTCCCCTCCGTCTGGTGGGCGCACGCATTTTGGCGTACTGCCGCCGCTTCTTCGTGCATGGGATCTATCGTCGCCTTCGTGGGTAGCCTTTGGGGGCGGAAAGGTCTGCGCGTGGCCTGTGGGTCTGCTCTCGGAGCAGGCTTAGTTGTAGCCCTTTTCTTCTGTCTGTTCCCGCTCATCGCGGCCCCATTCGTCATTATGGGCGCCATCAAGTGGTTCTTCACCTGGGTTGTGTTCTGGTGGCCTATATACATCCTCGCCTGGTTCCCGCAGATGGGATTTTTTCCTTTGACAGCAATGTCCGTCCTCGACATGGACCAAATTGCCGCACTCCTCGGTATTGTGGTCGTCGCCGCGATCCGCATGTTACGACCTGTGTGCGAAGCTAGGCGGCTGGGTAGTCGGTTGGGAAGAGCGTCGGCGCACGAGCTTGCGCCTCTACTTCCTGTATCGCGTCCCAGTGATCAGCTCAAAGCGGACGAGGAAGTGAATGTCATTACACATGAAGGCACTCCCGGAGCGGCATCGGATAGAGGGGATGATGTTTGACAGTTTATTTACATTCATTACATGTCGCTCTTGGGACCTGACACTGCACGTGAAATTTCAACTAAGTTACCACAGGACTTCCGCAGGACCACCGCAGATATGTGTGCTGCGGGTGGTCATGACTCGGGCCCCACCACCTGCAAATCCCGTTTTCCGTCCGTCCGCCGCGGTTTCCCTGAGTTGGCGTCTAACGAGCATAGCCTAGCATAGCCCGGGAATTAGCCGAAATTGGCAAGGACAACCGCTGTCAAATCGAACCGAAACCGAAACCGGCAGTGACAACTGCCATAGAAATTGAACAGTAATTGAACCCTCCTACCGCGGATTGAACAGCTGTCATGGCCCCTTATCGGCTATCGACTTGATGTCCACCGAAGCACGCCTCCACTGCACTTTCCGCCAGGCTCCATCCCAGTTACTTATGATAGTATCCCAGCGCACATAAGTGAGATATGATGGCCGTCAGCCGAACTCACATCGACAGAGTTCCTGAAAGCCATCATCTACAACTAGAGAAGGCATTTCCCCTGCTACACCACTCCTACTTGGGCATTATTTCCGGTGATGGCGGCCACTTCCAACCAAGACTGCCTTTCCCACGCTACACCAGCCATTATTTCCCTGTCGGCCAGGCGTGACGTCTAACACTATTGCCGGCGATGCCGGCCAGGCGTGTGACGTCAGTCGTCGGACTCTAAGGCCCAAGTACTGTAGCATTTTAGTCGCCCTTTGGGTGTGACAATGCCATATGAAGGTACCCCTCCGTATCCGAGCCCCATTGGGCAATTTGTTCCATCGGCTAAGCTCGGCGTCTCTCGGCAAGTGTCAAAATCATAAAAATGCCTCTGACCCTGTTACATACGTAATTTTATGTATTTCTCGAAATCTACCGTCAAGCTGGTTAATTTCAGAGGCCAGTATTGCAGCCGGTGGCCAGTATTTGCTGTTTGTTCCGATGTACACACTCGGCCTGATCCAAATGGCATTAGAACCATAAATTTATCAAGTGGACATAAAATGGACGACTTCTGGGGAGAAACTGGTATGATCCCAAAAGATTTATACTTCGTATCACTGGCCATGCTATTGATTCTGTAGGGCATCAGTGGTGTAGCGGTTCAACATTAAGTCTTCCCATTTACGTAAAATTGGGTAATCAGGTTGGCTTAGCTCCGGGTTCGACTCCCGGCTGATGCATGAGATCGGCCGTTAGTATTTTATTTTAGTTTGATTTTACAACAATCACAAAGATTCCTCTCGCAAGTTTCAGAACTGTTAATTCTTACAGCTAGATTCAGTACTAAAGGCGCCATCAATTTTTTTGTTTCTCGTCACATTTTCGTACCTGCGGTTTTATGCATTTTTCTTGCCCAGTTCTTGACCGTTTGTAACGGGGCCGGTACCGTTCGAACCGCCTCGGATGCCCGCACGTGTCGATACCCAAATTTAAGTGATCTGTCAATTCTCTACCTTTTGGCCAGCCTATGCTGCCTGCGTGGCCCTTCCACTGCCTCCAACCGCTCGTACGGCAATCCCCAAAGTCCCACAACCCCGCCCAAGTTGTATCAGGCGCCGAGAAGCCGCCCAAGGCCGGTAGAGTCAGAGCCGAGCAAGGCCTGCTTGCGCACTGACACGTGCTTTTGCCACTGGTCTTCTCCCTTCTTTCTTCCTCTCGCAATGGCCCGCAAACGCCCCGCAGTCCGTGTGCGAAGGTGCTACTCCTCTGATCTCAAAGGACGCGTGGTCTATCAGCATGATATCCTTGGGAAAACACAACAGCCATCTCCTTTGATCTTGATATGCCTCTGCGTGTTGTTCAGCGGCTTTTTTAAGACTTGGCAGACAACAGGCATGGTGTCACGCAACAGGACTGGGTTAGGACGTCCACTGAAACTCCGACCGGAACATTATCGCGTGAGTAGATGGCGCCCATACTGCCGAAGTCCTGACAAGATTTCAGTACATCGCCGCCCTGCTACAGCAGAAACCAGACATGTATCGAGACGAGCTTCAGCTTCAGTTGTTACTTGTTTATAAGGTTGAGATCTCGCTGCCGACGCTCACTCGTACATTGAAGCGGATGGGCTATACAAACAAGAAGGTGTGTTACCTCCAATGCTCGTCTGTCTGCCCTCAGTCATACCACATAGCTCTCACGGATCGCGACCGAACGCTGTGCAGATAAACGACGCGATTTCCGCCGGGAAATAGGTCAATACCCACCGAACTATCTCGTCTTCGCCGACGAAGCGGCGGTGAACATTCTGACCACGTACCGCATCAATGGTTGGTCTCAGAAGGGTCTCCGCGTTCGTAACACATGCAGCCGTATCCCGCACCTCGTAGCGTGCTTGTGATTGACAACTGCAGGATTCACCATGTCGCCGAAGTTGAGGAGATATGCGAAGCGCAGTGAGCTGCCCAGAATTCTTCACATTTTACAAAATTCACATTTGATTTTACAGCGGCATCAAGCTCATTTACCTCCCACCCTACTGTCCTGATTTGAATCCGATCGAAGAGTCGTTCTCGTTCGTCAAGCAGTGGATTCGACGGCACGGCGCCGAGTTCCGGGACATTGTAGAGTTTGGTGATGACGAAGATCCGTTCCACTTTCTATACAACACCCTTGCGCAAGTTGGTCCTGAGGCCTCTCGTGGCTGGTTCCGGCACTCAAGTTACATGTAACAGAGTCCTTTTTTTGGTAGTTCAATACTGTATATCATGACCAAGAAATACTATTTCATCAATGCACAGAGTTTACAGTGGACAGCGTACACAGCAGCGAGTAAAAAGAAGAACAACTATGTTCGGCGTTCAAGAAATCTCCATACTTGCCTTCTCCAAAAACCAAATCGCAGTCGCTTCCTTCATACCGATTTTCTCGCTCGTGAGAAACTTCTCTCCACCACGGAGAATATCGCGCACGGTGCATAACTCCTCTTTACGGAAAATGGGCAGGAAGCGGCTGATATTGCGCTCTGGGTGTGTAGCGTCGAGCTCCGCAGCAAAGTCGTCAATCTTGATGCCCTCCGGGCGGCGAGCGGGTTGGCGAGACGGGCTAACAAAGAAGGACCCAGCTGGCTGACCGACGCCACCATTCCGCCCGAGCGCCGTGGCAAGTAGCACCGAATTGGTTCGTTGCGACTCCATCATGCTCATCATCATCACCACTTCCATGAATGATGATCCAGTGGATGGTATAGCGATCCAGTGGATGGTATAGCGGAGAGGGAAGAGGACGACGAGGCGGGGGCGGAGAACTTGGCAGAGTCTGACATGGCTCTTTTCTTGACGTGAAAGGTCGTGAACAACTCGGAGTTGGGTGGGCGATCGAGAGTCACGCCACGCTCTTCGCTTGCCTGGATCTACTTCAATAGTTATGTTGAAAATATCGTGGAACAAACCAAGGAATGTGACCATGAATTACGCATCATGTAGTTGAGCAAGCTGTGATTACCGTCTACGTCGATTTTGCACCAAATCTCCGGATCGTCCTTGGAGCAATGCTCGCACTTCCCTTGATATTTTTACTCGAGCTGCAAGTACCGCTCGTGTGTCTTGTCAATCAAGTCAGTAGACTGACCAGAATGGTCGTCAATGTTGTCGCCATCTGAGAGATGGTCAAGATCGAGGACACCTGCTGCTTTCTTCTTCTTGGATCCGGCAGCAGGTTTGTTGCCCTTCTTCTGCCCATTTCGTGCAATAAGGCTTGCAATATACTATGTTCAAGTTCTTGAGCGGGCATATGAAGCAGAGCAGTAGAACTGGCGCACCTTATCAGGTAGACAGATTTCAATTGCATCGTGTCGGGACTTGGCGGGTTTGGCGCGGATGGCGTCTTGGAGGGCATTTAGCGTGGTGTCATCGAGGAGGAGAATAGGCGTCGCGTGACTGTGAGTTTTGTAGGAAAGGCTCGGCTTTCTGGGTACGTCAAAGATGCCCGGCAAGAGTCCACATCCATGGCAAATATGGCCCTAGATCTATTGAAAGCGCAGTGGCAACGCGTGGTTAGCTTCTAAAAGTCTCCCGCGCATCTTTGGTAGTGCTCCTGGCACCGACGTGCCTATAATGCATCGTTCAACATTTGATTGAGTCTTCCTGTAATTTCGACTCCCGGCTGCATATGTATATTCCGAGTTGGTTTTTTTAACCACAATCATAAAGAACCTTCTAGCAAGTTTCAGAGCTATTATAGGAATTTAAATTTCGCGCACAGGAGTGACGATGAGTCGATGACGATCTAGATGATATTTCCGGTGGGTTGTTATACCAGACAACGACCCAGTGCCGCAGGGCACATGCTGACTTGCGAATATGCCGATACAGCGGGACCCGTTCGATTCGGGGCTGGGTCATAGGTGAAGAAGCATGGTTGCTACTTTTTGCGCACTATCCGGCCAAACATGAGGAGATAAATAAGTACTAAACGAGCTCACCAACTTGAAGTCTTGCTGAAGTATCTGGCCCCATGAGACTAACGAGGATGCCAGTAAGCTGAGTGGTCAAATGCGTGTATGGTGTTATCCGTGAGTCACCGTGGATATGCATATGCTCGGCCCGGGCTACTCAACTCGGGTCAACCAGAGTCGGCTGATTAACGTAATCTGATCTATTGATTTTGTAATGCCTTAGCTCCGGGTTCGACTCCCGGCTGATGACTGTCCATTTTTATTTATTTTTACCACAATCACCAAGACTCTCGCAAGTTTCAAACCTCTCGGAATATCGCGCGGGAGCAACGATGTAGACCTGGATGATATGTGCGGTAGTTTGTCGTACCAGATAACGACCCAGTGTCGCAAGGCACATGCTCGTGGAACCTGCGAATGTGCTACAGCGGGACCCGTTCGATTCGGGGCCGGGTCATGAGGTCGGCGGTCGTACGTGACTTTTTGCACTATCCCGCATAAATAAGTAACTAGCTCACCAAGTCTTGCTAAAGTATCTCGCCCCAGGAGACTAGCGAGGATGCCGGTAAGAGTCCTGGTCAAATCCTTGTACGGTGTTATCCGTGGGTCACCGTGGATATTCTACGTTCAGCATATGCTCGGCCCGGGCTGCTCAACTCGGGTCAGCCAGAGTCGTCTGAAGGCAATGAATATCTTGAGTTGCTGGCATCATCGTTGCACTCGACACATGAATATCCACCGTCCGTCATGGTCCAGGGGAGCTATCCACACGAACAATTCCGGTTGATCGATGCTGGTTTCAAACTTCGCAGCGCGCTCAGGCTGGCTCGAGAAAGGACACGGATTGACTTGGGTTTGACCGCATCATACACAAATCCTTGATGTGGCAGGAGACTTGCAGGAGACGATGGGAACCGCCATCATATCTTCAGATGGCAGGCCAATGTTGCCCATAGCGGTGAAGCTCCAATTTACATGAAACAACTAAAGAAGGAAATGCGCTCCTCTTTCGAAGCAGCTGTACACCGCTACAGGCCGGCATCCAACTGAGATGGCTCGTATCCTGTGCCCATCATATTGTACATGCTTGTTTTTGCCTATAAGCAGATTTTGTTTCCCACACTCAGTAGAGTTGAAATATCTCAGCAAGTCAGCTGTTGGAAGCTTCGGCCTGAACCCATTCATACACCCTCAAAGCGTATTTGAAAGACAATAATTAAACCTAAATGGTGCCATTATCACAATCCCCATGTCACCCTCACTCTGATCCCAAAATGTCCTCCGCACATGCTGCTTCAGCATATCCCCTCATGTTCTGTTTTCCGTACCTAGCGCATGCTCCACTTCCTTGCATAGACTCTCCCATCGAGCTGTGCTACGACTTTAACACCTGAACTTCAATATGCCAGCCGATTCCGAATTGACTCCGAAGACCATCTCCTCCCTTTGGCGCCGGTCCCGGTGCTCATCCAGTCCTGTCAAGGCCCGTTGAAGTTGTTAAAGTGCAGCGTATGCCCGTGCAACAATCTACGTACTGTTCTCTGTTCTCTTTTTTGCCACCAAGCCAGACGCGTAGCGCATTCAGTCACACACAACAGAACCCTCAAATACCCACACCGTCCTTGGCCCGCTTCCCCCATATTTGCCCGTAGCATCAAATTGTTCACCTCCTAAGAGGTTGACATTGGAGCGGAAGCCGCCTGGTGTGACGGCCACGACGCGGACCATGGCAGCAGTGGTGAAAAAGATCCCGTTTTCATGTGGATCCCCAGGATGTAATCTGTA